CTAACTAAGTTGGAATTCTACTAACTCTCCCTTAGGATTACTTATGGCCAGTGCTGATTTACAAGCAAGAGTCTCTTGACAATGAAGCCCTGCTCGCTCTACGTGCCAACAGGGACACAGTGTCAAAAACAGATAGTACTGGAGATCTACTTGTCCGGGTCAAATATGTTTATGACAAGAAACCTTTGGTGGAGCAAAAACGCCTGGAGAAACCGCGTTTTCTTGTACCATGGGTCCTGCAAGCATTTGGTCATTATCTCCAGCATCCAGCACGGTTTCTCAATATCCTTCGAAGCCCTCTGTGCGATACAATGGTTTCCTACGCGCGGACCCGGTATGGCGCTAAACATTTTACAATCACTTGGGGTGCAACTGTTGTTCTGGGCGGGTTTGGGTTTGTAAGTGCTTAACGTATTTATGTCTTTATATTACTTTCTCAAGATCTAACTTGGTTAGATTTGGCATGAGCTCCTCACCGATTTCGGTAACCAGATCACGTCAACTTTTGGAAACTTTGCTCACAACATACCTTGCTATGATTTAAGTCTTATCATGGATATTAAAGACCGTTCCTCGGATACTCTGGCACGTCTTTTTTTCCCAACCTCCGATGACTACAAGTCAGGTCGTCTTAAATCGAAACCATACACTCTTCCATATTCATTTGTAACTGGAGATCCCGAGTTTCCAGCTCTTGACCCCCCTTATGGCAAATTTTCAACACGCCGCCCTGAGTTCTTGACCTGTCTTGATCGTGACTCTTATGTTGAGGCTTACAAAATCCTTCTTTCTAGTAAAAGTACACAATTTGATTCTTGGAAGTATTGGGGATTCCTTGCCAGCACTGTTATGCCTGTTACTGCTGCAATTTTGAAGCATATTTTGGTATGGTATGACCAGACATGGGTGTTTCCTGAAAAAGCTCAAGATATTCGCAAGGGTTTCCGCTGGGATAAGGAATTTGAAAGGACAGTGCTCCGCGGTAATCATCTGATTGAAGGCGGCAAACGTGGTTATAAGGATGATACCAATCTCCTTCAGCTTGCTCAGGAAATGATTCGCAAGATCTGGGACCGTGTTGATTCTGACCCTATTTGGAAAGACAACTTGGTCAGAAAAGAGGTGAGTTGAATTCTATCTTAGTTAGATTTAACTAATGTAATAGGTCATGGAAAACCCTATCCTTGCTATAGGTTCTAATGGTGCCAACTTTGAAGCCTATGCAGAACGCTTTCTCTATACCCATTGGGCAGATCTATTAAGGGAATGCTTGAAGGTCTCCGGACCTGCGCTCTCTGGGCAGATGGCAAAATACAATAACCCTGATATCCTAGTATGTTAAAATCCGGCCATATTAGATTTTCAGTTACTAATAATCCTTAGAGCGACTCATTCCAATCTCCAAATACCTTTGGCTATCTGGCCGCTCGAATCAACTGGAAAGACAACCTCGATGTTCGACAGTTCCCTGTCCTAAAGGAATCACGGACCCGCGAAATTTTTACAAATGAGGTCAGTGTTCTCGCAGCAATGGTTTGTTACCGGCAGATCAAATCCGCTATGGTTCGAACTTTGGTGGCTGGTTTTCCAAACCTGAAAACCCGGAGAGGGCGGAAAGCAGCCAAAGACCAGGGCCTGGTTGAAAACTATGTGAGTAAGAAATCTAACTAAGTTGGATTCTTTGCTAATCTATCAGGATGAATACATTCGCTACAAGGACAAGCTTACTGAGTACGCCGACTACTTGATAAAGAACGGCTGGGAGCCTGAGCTCAATAATGCTAATGAACCGCCTGGCGCACATTCCGTGCTACTTAAAGAGGTACACGACCCTCTTAGTGCTCCTCCCAATCAACCAGGTTTTATGGAGTATGTACCTTGCCAACCTGGACAGAAACCCTCTGCTAAGATGAGCACCTTTCTTTCTGGCATTGTGTTGGATGTTCCCAAAGGATCTGAACCCGAGGTAGACGGGGAAAAGGAAGAGGAAGATAATGAGGATACAGAGGCCACATCCAGTGACTTGGCCAGCATTTCGGACAATGATAGTAGTAGCCAATTTGAATCTCCGCCCGCTGAAACGCCAGTGGCAGGCCGTGGCCGTGGACGTGGAGGACGTGGTAATGCTCGAGGTGGTACAAATGGTAAGGGAGTTCAGCAAGGTCAAAGTGAATGTCGTAGGGGGGGTCGAAATGGAAACATTAACAATGTAACTGCATCTGTGCGCCCCTCTAAGAGAATTAGGCTTAAGGTTAATATGCCTACTTAGGATAGTGTGGAAAACTAACTTAGTTAGATTTAATTTACAAGATAGCTGATGCAGGATACATCAAATCTAAGGAATACTACATTGATAAAATATCGTTTATCTTATAAAAGCCTAAGAATGTTAAAAGATATTTAATCTTACCAGATATAGTTAGCAACTTACTTTATAT